GAATAATCAGCTTGCGTTTTCGCCTCAAGAGCGTGTGGCTCTTGTGAAACAAGTTCAACTACATTATCGATTTTTTCTGATTCTATAGCACACTTTTCAGTTTTTCGATAAAAACTTCAGAAAAATCTCGCTTACTGCTAAGATTACTATTTGAGTCGTGTATGTTACGGGGGTGTATCTCAAATGTTCTAAAGAGTGTTTTACGGGAGGGCAGACCTTATTGGAAGCTTGCATGATTTATGCAGATGCAGCTCTCATGTGCAGTACCAAGAGTAATGAAACGGCGTGGGTGTCATTGATCGTGTGAGCCTCCAACAAACTTGTCTATTTAGACACACTTGCTGTACTATCAAAATAAATAGTCAGTCACTTTAGAACATGGGGTTAGTGCTCAAATTTTTATACATTGCATCTCGCACGGTGTACCTGCATATAGATGCCTTCTCTAGACAAGGGTGTTTCTCCAGATTTAATACATCTGAAAACGTCATAAGATGATTCCAACTAGATGTTCTAAACTGCGCCACAGACTTAGGGTAGTTCTTTAAATATTTGTCAAAAAAACAAAAACATTTTACTACTTCAGATCTAACATTATTCATCCTAGATGCGCCAATTTTGGCAAGACCTCTCCCAAAATCATGTCAGTTATACTTCTAGTAGCAACAAATACCATGGAGTAAAAGATCTGATTCTATCGAGCCAACCTAATTTTTTATTCAATTTTGTAGTTTTTTCAACAACAAATTCAAAAAATTCCCTTTTACTGTTGTGAATACTATTTGCACCGCATACATTACGATGATGTCGTTCATCTTTCGTAAGGTCTGGATTACGCCATGAAAAACCTTAGATGAAAGCTTGCACGTTGTATGCAAATTCGGTTCTTGAGTGCAGACCTCAAGTTTGCAAGCGCGATATGTGTGCCAGTGCCTCTAGGAAACTCTCCAAACTAAATAGACGTGCTCCTGGACTATCATAGACTACAGTTGTGCTGATACAGTTGAGCTGATCACAGTTGCATCACAATTTTTTGTGCACTCCATCTCTCATAATGCACCTGCATACAAACATCATGGTTAGACGAGGTGACACCTGTGTTATGACTGCCACAAACGCTGCACGTCGCTTCCAATGCCCACTAAACAATATAGGTTTACGCCATTTTTTTTCTGCGTGTATGCACCTCTCCTTGTAGGCAAACGTATTGGGCAATGTTGAGCATTTCACAGGACCGGAAATGCAAGTGTTTGGTTCTAGCTTGGAGTGAGCATGTATCACTTGATGGAGACAAGTGGTTGAAATAGCTCGAAAAGTTTCATATTTTGACATTCTTTACGTGTATTGTAGTAGACACAATTCAAAAGAAGATTTTCATTGTTCCGGAAATCATGTCCACATCGCAAAAATAGTCATATTTGGTACAATACATAACATGTCTTTGCAAGTTGCACGCAAATAACGTGACCTCACCCGTCACGGTTTACCTACAAACCTTTGGGGTGTTACTCTAGACGCCCAGATGGGGCGCCCTCTCTTGATTCATTACATATGGTAATAATATACCTGATAAACGGCTATAATAGATACTGTGACATGCGACCACTGATGCCATCAGAAACAGCATACCTTCATGGCACGAGCCATTCTCCCTGTGTCTTCCAAAAATTATGCTAGAAAGAATTCACAGTAGACTGTGTTCTCCACCCACGACATACGTGATCCTTTCTCGCTAATCGTCCGTTTGTGGACGTCAAAAATCATTTCGTCATAAATGTCATCTTACAACCCATTAGGAATTCCGAGGCATCTTACGCTGAGAAGTCTCAGAAGCCGAGCGTTTCCGATCGAACAAATCGAATGGAGAGTCACTCACGACAGATATGAGCCACTCGTAAAGCGGAATTGAATTAGTTGAGGAGGCCATATCGTTGATGCGACAACACCACAGTTTGTGCTCAGTGGCAGGACTGACTTGGTCGCCTTCGTCGTCGCTATCGAGAGCTGTCATGGGAATGTCGTTAGGCGGCAATACTTGTGACTCCAGCAACTTGAGGCCCTTGACTGACCCCAGACTCGGCACGGGCGGGTGAGTGGCGCTATTGACGAATATGCGCTGGTTGCACTTATCGCAGATCAAAAGGAGGACTAGTTGAGTGGAGAATGACTGGACGTGGAGCGACCACCCGTACACCGCCAATCTATACACCCACTGTGGTATCAGATTGGTATTAGTCTTATACTTAGTGGCAAGCCAGTGGTTGGAGTTGGCGATAAATTTATCGTTCAACGGAGTATCCAGCACAAACGCGGGGCTGAAACTCAGTTCGTGTTCGACCAACACCGCCAAGTTATTGGCCAAATTCTCCAAGTTGGCGAGGTACTCAGTGATGAGTTGGTGGTCATTAATGTAAGGGCGAGGGTAGTAAAACCCCACCAACGGCGTTTCAAAGTGGCGCCACGAACAGCTGAACTGGTGGCCTGAAGTGACGATTTTTTCGTAGTATTTAGTCTCCAACAACAGGTTTAACGGCTCGCCAACGCCTTCTTCGTCTTGGCCCCAAAAACGACTGGCAAACGCCGGCTGGTCGTCCCATTTGAGGATAAGCTGGCTCTGGCAACAGGTACACATGAGGTGGTTCTTCACCGGGTTATTGCGGCTAAACTCAACACATTTCCATCCGTTCTGAGCGCATATAAGCTCGTTTATCGCCGTCACTTCGGAGGGAAGGTGCCAGCTCAACGCCAGATAAGTCTTGATACGGGCAAGCAAATCCGCCACACTATACGGGTCAAACAGCGCCGTGGTGGTAGTTTTGATGCGGTCGATGGAGCGGCCGCTGTGCTTGTGATATTGCCAGTGGTTGGCGTTCTGTATTCGTTGGAAGTACTTGATGTCTGGGTGATATATCAGGCGGTCGCGAGTATGCTTTGGTGTGTACTGAAACAGGCCCGAGGCCAAGAACTCCAGGCACTCGGCAAGCACCCCTGTTTCGATGTCCATGGTGTCGTGTGAGTGGAGTTAGGAAGAATAGCACCGATAGCGGTGTGATGTCTGCGAGCAGGTCTACGATAGCTCGCGCTGTCACGGTCCCGAGTCAGAATTTTAAGGACGGAAAAACCGCCACAGTTTTTTCTTTTGGATGGTGAGGCTTAGCACTGACTCGGCACCACAGAAGCTCATGACACTTTCCGTTTTTTGAAAAATTTACGACTCCGCTACGGTATTTCCCGAGCAATAGCGGTGTTCCACGCCACCGCCACCGGCCCGCTGACTAATGTCACCTGACCTCTCCGATTAAGGTGCGGGTTGCCGGGGTTTGGCGGCGCGCGCGGCGAGCACCCCATCACTCATAACCAGGAGCTGCCAGCCTCCACCGGACGCCGATGACGCTAAAGGTGATCCTCCTCGGCGACCTGGGGGTGGGCAAGACGTGTTTGCGGGGCCAGTTTGTCCACCAGGTGTTTCTGCCGGCGTACCAGGCCACGGTGGGCGGCGACTACCTTTCGGCCACCGCCGACGGCGTCAGGCTCCACGTGTGGGACACCGCGGGCCAAGAACGGTTCAACGCCCTCACCCAGGCGTTCTACCGGGGCGCCGACTGCTGTGTGCTTGTCTACGACGTCACCCGCTACGAGCTGGTGCTTTCGCTACGAGACTGGTTCGCCCGGGTGGTGCTGGTGGGGCTGGGGGCGCCGCCGCCGCCGGTGGTGGTGGTCGGGAACAAGGCCGATCTCGGCGCCGAGCGGTGTGTCGACAGTAGCGAGCTCCGCGATATTTGGGGCAGTGACCGCTTAGCACTGGCGGTGGGTGACTGGAGCGCCGACGTGTTCGAAGTGCTGAGCAAGAGCCACGCTGACGTGGCGCGGGTGTTCGCTCGGGTGGCGCAGGTGGCGAATGATCGGCCGCGGGCACCGGCCGCCGACTCCAAGCCAGTGGATATTGCTAGGGGTGGCCCCCAGCCGTCCCGCTGTGCCTGCTGAGAAAGTATATAGCATTTTAATCATAATTCCCTCATCAAATTTCGAGCAAAAGAATCAGAGTTCTATCGATAATGAGATAGATGTAAAGTCAAAACATCCGTCGCTGTTGAAGGTTTTGCCTGTCCCCTGATTTACGTAGCTTTGCTCTCCGAGACTTTCATCTTACCTTAGTTTCACGTCAAGCATTTAGCAAAACTTGGTGATCGACATGGTCGTAAAGCGTTAAGGTTGATAGCAAACTTGAGATTTTTGCAGCAGTCTTGAGAGAAATGTTACACTCTATCTAACAAGAACATCTGTTTGCGGTGCATCATGCGAGGTTCAAAACTCAGCGAACCGAGCTCTAACGCAACATTTTAGAGTAAATAGCTCGTGTTACTTATGACGAGTTTACTGGAGGGTCACACGATCAGTGACCCCACAACCTATTCTTCACATTTGGTACTGCACATAAGAGTTGCCTCTGCATAAATCATGCAAGCTTCTAACAAGGTTCCTTCTTCGCGTAAATCACTCTTTAAAAAGATTTGGAATACACCTCCGTAAAATACACGACTCAAGTAGTGGCTGTAGCAGCTAGTGGAATTTTTCTAAATTTTTTTTCGAAAAGCTAAAAAGTGTGCTGTAAAATCAGGAAAAATTGAAAGAATCAAACGGTCTGCACTATAAAATTTGTTGGCTTCTGAAGTATAGAAAATGTGCTTTTGGATGAGTTGACGTCAAATTTGACGGAGTTCAAGTAATGTTGGAAAAACAGATGTTGAAAACATTGACAAGACCAAATTTGTTGACTGATAATCATTATTGGTACTCAAAGTATTGCTGATGTGTTTCTCTATGGGTTGACGTGAAAACTGGAGGAGCAGTATCATTTTGTTCACGTTATATGCAAGAGATATCGGTGTATGCAGTGCCCAAGTATATCGTGTTGCCGATAAATGGAAACTGATGGTAAGTCATTTGTTTTACCACCGCCATAATTGCAAAACACGTTGCTAATAGACTTGCAAGTTTCATACGGTTAAAAGAGATACCGAAGCACCTATCAAGCTTTCTTGTCGATTCTCAAGATCATCCTGCGTGTAAAGGCGGTATCTTCAACTCAGGCTGTCTCCATGTACAAAGCAGCCTAGGTAAGTAAGGATATCGTCCCCATGATTAGCACAGTCTAAATATGTGTGTAGTCAATCAGAAAATGTTACCGACCCTTACAAAAAAAATTTGTTTAAAAAAAAAAACAATATCTGGTTCTCCTTCCTTCATGTGGACTAAGATGTATACAGTTCTCAATCAGACCAGAGCTCAATGGGTGCTACTTCTGGTGACTATAGCAACAGTTACTTAGTTGAACTTACGGCGTATGTACCTTGTATTATATGTAGGGTAGTATTCAAATGCAGGACATGGTTGAGGCAATGAGTCAAGCCGTCAAAATTCCAACGGGAATACCGGCAGTTGTTCAATTATTAAGTGACTCCACCGTACAGTTATTCCGTAAGCCGCAACGGTTGTTGTGCGCTTACTAATGATTCGGTTAGGCACGACTACCTCATTGGGAGCACAAACGGGTATATATATTTTTGTGTATATTGCTATCTAGATCGTTTTTATGTCGTCGATCGGGTTTTTATTGCCACCCCGCTTACTCGGCGTCTTCGTACAATTCGTCCTTGTAGTGTTCGGGGTGTCTCTTGAAGCACGATCTCATGTTTTCGAACTTCTTGATGCAGTCAATGCCCTTAGGGTCGGTTTCGGAGTAGACAAAGCACGAGAACGCTTCCTTGAACTCTTCACCACAAGGCCCGTGGGCCATGCCGCCAAGACAGGGGCAGTCCCAGTTGATCTCGCCAGTCTCGGGGTCGTAGGCGCCCTTCTGTTCGGCGTCGTCGCCACCAGCGGCAGCGCCCTTGGCTTCAGAGGCCTTCTCCTTAGCCGCATCCTTAGCTTCAGAGGCCTTTTCCTTGGCAGCGTCCTTAGCTTCGTGAGCCTTTTCCTTAGCGGCGTCCTTAGCTTCGTGGAGCTTTTCCTTCGCGGTCTCCTTAGCTTCACCGAACCCTTGCTTAGCCTTTTCGGCGGCTTCCTTAGCCTCGCCGCGTGCTTCGGTAGCGGCGCCCTTGGCGGCATCGGCGGCGTGAGCGGCGGCGTCCTTGGCCTCGTCCTTGATTTCGTGGGCCTTTTCCTTGAGCGTCTTCTTACCAGCAGCCACATCGTTGGCGGTTTCGGTGACGGTATTCTTGACGGCGTCAGTGGCGTCCTTGACGTAGTCCTCGGACCCCGGCGCCACCTTCAGCGCCACCAGCGCCACCTTGTCGCCGGCGTTGTCAGCGACGTCGCTGGCCTTGTTGACAGCGGCATCCTTGGCCGAAGCGAAGATGGCGTCCTTAGCGACACCAGCGACGTCGCCGGCAGTGGCGAGCGCCGCCGAGGTCACCGCCTTCTTCAGCTTGAGCACGGCGCCGGTGATGGAGTCGGCACCCAGCGCAGCGTCGCGCACCTGTTCGGCGACGTCGAGAGCGCGGTCGGCGCTGGCGTCCAACACCTTCTTACCCTTTTCCACGTAGTCTTCGGGGACCAAGTCGAGCAAGTCCTTCGCCTTTTCCTTGTAGGCGTCGGGGACCTGCTCAAGCAACTGTTTCGAGGTGTCGTCGGCGAACTTCTTGATCTCGTCCTTCAGGGGCAACTGGCGCAACCAGTCCTGGCCCTGCTTGAGCGCCTGGGCGTTCAACTCGTCGTAGGCCTTCTTGACGTCGGCGAGCGACTTCGCGTTCAACAACAGCTGCGCCAGCAGCTTCATCTCGGCGGGGATCGACGTCCAGAACGCCTCGCCGGCGTACTTGATGTCCAGGGGCGCGTAGTCCCACAACTCGAGCGCCCGCTTCTGGATCTCGGCGGCGATGGCGTCGGCGTCGGGTAAAGCGCCCTTGCCGTCGGCCAACAACAGCTGGGCGATGTCGGCGCCCTTTTGCACCAATTGGTCGGGCTCGAGCTTGCCCAACGCCGCGGCGGCCTTAGTGGCGGCGGTGCGGACCTCGGCGGGGTACGCCGAGTCCTGGGCGACGTTGGCGGCGGTGTCCTCGGCGATCAGCTTCGCCTGGTTGGCGGCGAACTTGAGCTTGTCCTGGGGGGTCTTGGGAGTGGCGTAGTACGCCGCTCCCCCAGCCAACACGAGCGCCACCGCCGCGCCGCCAAGGGCCAGCATCACTCGGCCTTTGGTGTCGGGCGCCAGCTGTGACGGCGGCACCGCCAGCTGCCATCTTCTCAGCGCCCGGGGCGCCCGCAGCGCCGCCCGGGCGACCAGGCGAGACCCACTGTTACCAACTTGTCTGAACATAGCAAACACAATTGCGGAGCAATCCTAGTCTTGGTGAGAGAGAAAAGCAGAGCTTACAAATGCAGCTGGCTAGTGTGCAGGTTGACACCTCGGGGCTGGCGTTAACCAATGGCAGGCGCCACCGGCCCCGGTGGTGGCTACCCGGTGGTCGACGTGAATAAGTGGCTAGTGAAGGCTATTGTGGTTAGGCAGGCTAGTGATGTGATGAGATTACTTTTTGGCGTTGTGAGCCATGGGTGGGCGTAGCCGAGATGGGCGACACAGGGCGGGTCCGACACAATAAGACGCTTTTTCTCTGCCATGATGCGATTGTAACGGCTGAGTGGATTTTTTTTTGATTTTTTCTGCGTGAGCGCTAAGAAAATTCAACCAAATATAGTCACGGGAACCCACCGGGACCTTGCCTGTGAATTTTGCTGTTGCCCTAAAAAAATGCTGTGATGCTGTGCATGGTGGTGGCATTACGTCACGGTGTTCTTTAATTAAAACTAAAGTGGGTTACAGGATGGGTCACGTGCACGTAGTTAGTGCCGGGGATCCCCGCCGCAAGCCACCGCTCCCTCGCAAGAAATCAGCCGCAAATGATCACAAGCCTCGCGCACCCCCCTCAACCCCCATGTTGTTGCGCCCAAACTCAAACAGGACCATGGCCTGGCCCCGGTTGCTATTAGCCCGAGGAAACCGAGGCTAGCTATTGGCACGCCACCAAAGCTATTGACGCCGTTACAAATGGGCCCAAAAGGCTCGGCACTGTCGGATTACGTGGGCGCCTCCTCGAAGCAATTGGCCCACATTTTTGTTCCTCTGCTAACAATGGGTTGCGGTTTTGTGACCGGTTAGCAAAGTAAACGACGTGACTTTCGGCACCATTGTGTGCTAATAACGGGACGGTCATTACGTAAAGTCCGGCAAAGCGGAAGCGGGCCCGCCTGACCTGATGCCACCGAATCGGCCGTCTGTGCTCCTGGAGCCACCCCCGGCTACCGCCGCTTCCGACGACTATATAAGGCACGGCTGACGGTAAGGCTGGCACCTCACCAACCCCGAGAACTCGAAATCATGGACGCTTTCATCCTGGACGCCTTCACCCTCTTCAAGCGAGGCGGCAACCGTGCCATCTCCGTCAACCCCCCCGACGACTACATCGGGGTCCACATCACCACGCGGGGGTCCGACTGGTTGTGGTCGGCGATGTCGCTTTTCGGGGCGTTGACCGTCCTCAACTTCGCCGTGTACTTGTTTCTGGTCCGCTCGGCGCTGAAGCGGATCACGTTCTTGATCCCATTTATCAACAACTTGATCATGGCCATCACCTACTTCACCTACGCCTCCAACCTTGGTTACACCGGTATCGCTACTGAGTGGACCGGCCACACCAAGGCCGACGACGGCAAGTGGGTGCGCCAGATCTTCTACGCCAAGTTCGTCGGCTGGTTCCTCTGCTGGCCCGGGTTGCTCTTGCTCTTCGAGATCGACACCACCACCTTCAGACCCCTGCGCGACTTCTTCGACAATGTCGTCCACTTCTTGCTGAAGTTCTGGGGCAAGTTGTTATGTGCGTGGGTGTGGACGATCGGTTTATTGATCGGCGCCCTTATCCGCTCGACCTATAAGTGGGGTTACTTCACCTTCGCCGTCGTCGGCCAATTGACCTGTCTCGCCCTCGTCGCGGGCTCGTTGTTCCTGCTGATGGGGTACTCGTTCGAGGCCGGCGCCAAGGCGCGCTGGTCGTTGCTCTTGTTGTTGTGGGCGTTGGCGTGGCTCACGCAAACGATCAACTGGGGCTTGTCTGAAGGCAGTAACCGCATTCAGCCCGACTCGGAGGCGGTGTGGTCCGGTGTCGTCGACCTCATCAACTTCGGCCTCATCCCCACCGTGCTTGCGTTCGTGCTTCTGTTCGGCTCGTCCGAAAGCTTGCTCGCCAAGTTCAAGGGCCCCTACGACAACTACTACGAAGAGAAGGTGGTCGTCGACACCCCGCGCGCGCTGGGCGACACCGCCGTCGCCGGCGAAAGCGCCAACGCCGACGGCGAGATCCTCGCTGCCGAGGGCGCCGACGTCAACGAGACCACCGCCCGCCAGCGCGCCGTCTAAGCGCGACCCTGAGCGCGCCTCCCTTTGATATCCGTCGCTACACACCGTGACTAACCACGCGCTGTCGGCACGCCTAATTACTAATGTTTAATTTAATATGAATTGATGTTCCCCCCTCTATTTCGTCTTTCTCACGTCTTTGCCCAAATCGACAATGTCGTCGACTTGTTCGTAAGCGGGCTCGGAGACATAGGTCAGCGCCCACACGAGGGAGCCGAGCGCCACGGCGACACTGAGGACACCGACTCGGCGGAGGGTGCGCATGGTCCGCTGTGACTCCGGCGTCGTCTCGTCGCCGATCTTGCGGAAGTGGGCGTCGACTTGTTTGAGTTTTGAAGTGACGGGGTTGGTGGTGTGATGCTGCTGCTGCGCCCGTAAGGCGCTGGCGTGGAACCGCCGAGCGGCGGCGATTGTCGTCGCTGATCTGGTGAGCATCGCGGCGGATGGGTGGACTGGTGCAAACCCCGTCGGCCCCGTCTCACCTGCTGAGAAAAAGGTGGAGCGGTCAGGGCTCGCAATTTTGCGCGATTACTCAGACGCAGCAGCAACCTCTCACTAGCCACAAGTTGTTTTTTTCTACCAGTGGGTCATTCCCCACCACTCTTTGTCTGCCTCGGAACGGGGGGTGGCAAGCTTTCAGGTGTGGCTCCCCGGGCTCGTGTGCTGTAATTCTAACACTAATCCCTAGTTACGGAGCCGTGGTTGCCGACCCACAATTGCTTGCATGGACCGCTGGAAAAAAAGACCAGGGGGCCCGTCATGTTCAGTGACCTCGCGATTGCTTTTGGCAAGAAAATACCCCAAAACAGTCCGTAATATCCTGAAATAATCTTAGTGTCGGATATGTTAATCTTAGCTCGAGTAGCTATGACCACTCCCCTCCCCTCGCTATTGTCCGTAGTCAGTTGGCAGGCGCCTTAAGCAATTGGCTGGCATATACGTCACTGCAAGTCGTCCCTTTGTAGCAGAGAGGTATTTTTGCAACTCACACCCAATTTTGTAAACATGCACTATTAAAAATGGCAACCGCTGATTTTGTCACATTTGGTCCTAAAAAGTGTGCCCAGGCAAGAACGACGATGGCTATTGCGATGGACAATAAATCGAGTGAAACTTGCTTGCGAATGCGATAATTTTTTTTTACTCCAAAAAACCGTGAATGATTTTCGGTAGTAGCATGCTGCAATAATCAGATTATCAACCTGCTGGTGATGATAGGTATTTGGGAGTGCATATAATCCATGAATCTTTTGTGGCCCTTCGCACTTGTGCGCTGATGGGCTCACCGCACCACAATGTCATTCTAGACGGCGCCGCACGTCGCGCGCGCGCGCCCTTTCGCTAGCTAACCCGCCTATACCCGCTCGAGGCCCTATCGCGTACGGATATTGTGATGAGCAACCCGTGGACGGGCGCCGTCGCCGAGTTCCCCGGGGTCGCCGTCGACTGCTTCACCCGCCCGGCGGCGCTATACTTGCTTAGCCACGCCCACAGCGACCATCTCGGCGGCATCGACGCGCGCCACTTCAACGGGCGCGTCCACTGCCACCATACCACCAAACAGCTACTCGGCGCCTTAACCAAGTATCGCCACCTTGGCGACAGGATCGTCGGTCACCACTATAATCAACCGTTTGGTGTATCTATTGACGGCGCTACCATTACGGTGACGTTGATCGCGCTGGATCACTGTCCCGGCAGCGCCATGATGCTCATCGAGGGCGCCCAGGGCGCCGTCGTCGTCACCGGCGATATCAAAGCCGAACCGTGGTGGGTAGAACTGCTACGACGGAACCCGTTACTCACACCCTACCGCTTAGGCACGCGCCGGTTGCTCAACGTGTATTTCGACCTGACGTTCATGTACCGCGGCGAGCCTTACCTCGACCTTGCGCCGAACGCCGACGCCACCGATCTCGTGGTATCGGCGCTCAAACAGTATCCCATGGACGACGCCGACGTCGCCTTCGGTTTAGGAGTGCTGACGCTCGGCGCCGACGAAGTGGTGGCGGCAGCAGCGGCGCTGTTTGGCGGTAAAGTGTATACTCCCCACGCCCACCATATCGAGCGCACCAGCGCTATAGGCAACGACTACCACAGCGCCGTCGCCTACGCGCCCATCCTCGCACAAACAATCACCCCGGAGTATACCGGAAGAGGACCATGGTTCTTTTTAGGAGCCACACCCCCAGTGAAGTTCCCCGTCGCCATCCACTTACCAATCCACTTATCAGCCGATGAAACCGAGGGATTTCACCGTCCCGTACCGATAGCGGAACTAACAGCGTCAGAGCTCCGTTCTGAGCTCTCAGTAGTGGACCACACTGCCAACGGCCACCGCGTGTGTCGCTATAAACAGCGGTTGTGGCTCTGGCGCCAAGGCGGGCTCGAGCTTCTACCACAAACCATCACCGCGTGTTTCTCGCGCCACGCCACCTACTCGGAGATATACCACCTTATCTCCACGCTAAACCCGATCGAGGTGTTTGGGTGTGCCACTTTCAGTCCAAATTTGCTTAAACGGCTGTGGCTCGCGGGCGGGTCCATGGCGCGTCTTTTTGGCCCCGCGTGTCAGGGGGAAACGTTTCATTATGACACGCTCATGTTTCAGGCATTTGGACGCCCTCTAGACCACAAATTGACTCCCCCAACCACCGTTGACCGGTGGGGAAATGTCACATCTTCAAAGCTGCAATTGCCTTCAGAAGTGGGAGCATCCGATGTCCGTCAATTTGCAATTGTGGGGCAGCAGGCGCGATCACGGCGTCAACAATTTCGGAGTGTTGGTGCCCACGGGTTTAACCGAGGCCACTCGCAGTTCTGGCACCATCGCCTCCACCACGGTTTGTCTAGTGATAGTGACGGAACTACCACTTCCGACTCCACTTCCGATAACCATACCAGTCCCGGGATGACCTTTACCGCACCTACATCGCCATTAGCCAAAGTGCCACACAATACCACCAAAGCCTCACCAAAATGGCGGGCGACGATTACTGCCACTGTGGTCGATGTGCGCCGTCAACCCCGTCGGCCTTACCTCCACCGAGCTCATGCCACTTACGCCGCTAAGACTCATTTCCACATTGACGGCGCCATGGCCTACTCCCAGCACGTTGTCTGTCTCTGCCATATTTCTCTTCCTCCCAGTGATGGCATTGGCGTTGACGATAATCGTGTGGCTACCATTGCCGCTAGGCTCCGTAACGATCCCACTCACTGGCTCCTAATTAAACCTCAAGGGCTCTGCACTTAGCCATTGGACTCCACCTGTATCATTCCCAAATTTGCATTGGTATATCTATTATACACGTCTATAATCTCATTAACTTGGAATTGTAGTCCTTGACCTGCTTTATTAGTTTTGCTAGCATTGCTAGCTTAACTAGCCTCAATAGATTCACTAGCTCGCTGGTCTCTAGCTTCACCAGTTCACTAACTTCACTAGCCTTACTAGCCTCATTAGCTACTAGCTTTACTAGGTTCGCTGTTCGCTAGTTGACTAATTTTCACGCCATTTGTGGCCACACGTCACACACTTGAGGAACGTCGTCATCGGCTCATCCGCCGACCGGATCTGTAACTGGTAGAAGTAGGCCTTGGTACCACCACACTCGTCCACAGGACACTGCGCCGCCGTCTGGTCGACGTTATCCCAGAACCCTTCGCCACCAAGGACGTCGTCGACGTCCTTCCGGCGGAGCTTGGTGCGGTCGTAGATCAGGAACCCCGTGATCTTGAACTCGTAGGGACAGGTCAGACAGAAGAACTTGTTGCACCCATCGTCGCCGGCAGCGATGAGTAGCATGTTCAGGCAGTTGGGACAGAACGAAAGCATCGCGTTGTTCCGTTAGTCGTTGCCCTAACACCGGGGGTCAAATGCGCCCGGCGATGAGATGCCACTCGCGCACTGGGGAGGGTTGTGGTTGCGAGCCCTGGGCACTAGCCTCACTAACAATCAACACTATATTCACACCCATACACACACAAAGCCCGTGCGACCCTTCTTCTAAACTTCTTTAAGGAGCCGATGGACGAAATTCTCTCCAGTCCCACGAAAGTGGTGCCGCGGAGGAGTGTCTCCCGCGACTCGCAATCGCCATCAAAATCGCCGCGGCTGCCAGCGCTAAGAGGGGTGCCTGCCGGTCTCCCTCAGCTGCCCCAGAAACCCAAATTGGGACGCAATGGGCGCCGTCTGCCACTGAAACCTCAAACCAATGGCGTTCTACTACATGATAAGCTGCCCCAGCTGCTTCAGGTCGAGCTGTACGTGGAGGAGGACGTGTCTACCGTCACTAAAACCGCCGTTAAGGTGACCACTACTAAGCGTGGCCGACGCGTCAAACTCCGCAAATACGTTAGTGACGACGACGATGCCGATAGCGAGTTCGATTCCAGCCACAGCGAAGGCGATAACGACGACAAAGACAACGATATCGACGATATTGACGACGATGATGACCCGGCCGTCGATGACCTCGATGTCGATGATCTCGCGGTGGAGACTACAAAACCGAGGACTACCAGATCGAAACTGCCTCTGAAGAGTCCATCACGAGCAAAACTGACGTCTACAACCCCTAAACCCGCCGGCGCTCGGGGGTCACGTGGAGCAGGCCGACCGTCAAAGGCCCACGGAGTGGTGGTGGAGTCGATCTTCACCGATCTCAACTCGCCAAAACAGTTCCTGCTGCTGCCATCCAAGGAACTGTTTTTGGAGAAGCTCAGACAACTGCTGACGAATACCGATACTCGCCTGTCTCTTTTGACCACCTACGAAACCCAATTCCGCAAGGCCACGTCCGAGTTTGGCCGCCGCGATATCATCCTGGGGATCAAACGCCCCAGTCAGCAACAGATCGACGCTGAAGCCGAAGAGAGACGCAAACAGTACCGGCCACTTCCGGTACCGGAACTCGACCGGACAACCGGGAAGATCGACGAACTGTGGTTCGACGAAAACTTTACCCTGGAGCCCGCTCTACCTGAATTGAAAGTGGGGATCACCTCAATCACCCATGACGCCCCGAAAGGTATCCAGGATTACCGCGCCGTGTATTTAGAAGGGGCTGAAGGTTACTTTGAGCAGAACTCGATTAGAGGTATCAATCTGAACCACGGGGTGGGGCTTGCTCCGCAACTCGACTACGACGACTACATGCGTTATACCGAGATTGGCGACGCCGTCACCGCTTCGGCTCGCGCTCAATTGCGTGAAGTCCACCGCCTGCTATTCCCTCAATGGTGCTTTGAGCTATCACAAGGGTTTTCCCTTAATTTCTACGGGGTGGGCTCGAAACTAGACATCCTCAACCAGTTCATTCTGGACTATATCGCCGGCTGGTTGGCCAACATGTACCCCGACGACGACGTCAACACCAAGTACCTCGTCATCAACGGGTTCAACCCCAAAGTGAAGCTCAAAGACGTGATCACTTCCATCACCGACGTGTTCCGCGACCACTACCCTCAGGAGACAGCACTTAAATTTCCCAAATACGTCACGGAGACGGTGCCGTTCCTCATTCGCCTCATCGAGCGCTACCGCACTCAGCCAGTACAACGCCCCTCGATCGTCATCCTTATACATAATATCGACGGCGAAGGGCTCCGAGACGACAAGGACCAGCGGCTTCTCTCGGAGCTCGCAGCCTTACCGGAAGTGTACCTCCTTCTGTCGACCCACACCGTCAACGCTGCCCTCCTCTGGGACTCGGCCCGCGCCAAAAACTTCAACTGGGTGTGGCACGATCTCACCACCTACGACCCCTACACCGTCGAGTCGTCGTTCAAGGACGTGCTTGCCCTTGGCCACTCCAAGAACCACGGGGGCGGCACTGGGTCCAAGTTTGTCCTCAAATCATTGCTGCCTAACGCCCGCAATTTGTACAAGGTGACCCTCGAAATGCAGCTAGAAGTGGTGCTGAACCACAACGTCAAGGGCAAGTCAGGTCTTAAGGGGAGTTTGCGCCTCCTGATGTTGTTTGACGATGTCTACCAGCGGTGTTTGGCGGCGATGGTGGTGCTGAGCACCATGCAATTCCGCAACTTGCTTAAGGAATTCATCGACCACAAAATGCTCAAATTGGTGGTGGACAAGCTTGGCGACGAGCGGTTGTACGTGCCGTTCTCGGTGTTGGAGATGGAGCGGCTTTTGCATGACGAATTCAAATAGACACTATATATATATCCATACATATACCACCTGGAGAAACATCGGTGCAGCAAACACCGGTGCTGCAGCGAGCCCGCACCCCTCTGTCTCCGCGGAGTGACAGCCATCACCGAATGCGAAGCGTAAACAATCCCCCTTATTCCCCGTCATCCGCTCCTGAATTCCCTCTCGGCAATAACTTATATACTCGTCTATAACCGCCACCTGGCACTCGCCACGTAGACTCCTCGAGCCCGCTTACCCTTCCGCGTAGGGCCTTACTGCCGACCGCCGAGGCCTGCCTCGCTTATCTGCCCCTATCGCACGCGGAGTCGCCACCTCACTGATCCGGGGGAGCGCACCGATGACAGCACCTACCGCCACCACCGCCAGCGTCACTGGCATTCCAATTAGGGGGATGTGTCCGTAGCCGTAGCCAATTTCTAAACCGTAACCCGCCCGCAATTTACCGGTGCCACACTCGCCACTTTTCCCCCAGTAAAAGTTTGTGTTGCTGGTGGCTTGGCGCGACACGACACTCGGCATTTTCACCCAATAACCCTCCCGTGAGAGAGTCGCCAACGCCACCCGCCGCCGCCCCCACCCCACGCTACTGCCAGCAATTACCATGGGGACGTTTCCCAAGTTGCCTCCGGGCACCCAGCTACAAGTGGGCACCCATTTGGCCACGGTTGTTGACTATCTCGGCGAAGGCGGCTTCGCCCATATCTACCAAGTCCTGATCGACCCGCAGGAGGACGACACCAGCGTCGCCTGCTTGAAGCGTGTCATCGTCCCCGACAAGCCCGGCCTCATGAATTTGCGCAAGGAGGTCGAGGTGATGAAGACGTTGCGCCACGCCCGCCACATCGTCAAGTACTACGACAGCCACGCCGAGCGCCTCGAAAACGGCACCTACCAGGTGTTGGTGCTCATGGAATTGTGTCCCAACAAGCTGTTGCTCGACTACATGAACCATAAGATCAAGACCAAGCTCACTGAACCGGAGATATTGGCCATCATGCGCGACATCGGCGTCGCCGTCTACGAAATGCACCGCCTCAAATTGATCCACCGTGACATCAAGATCGAAAACGTGTTGATCGACCGCCACCACCGGTTCAAATTGTGCGATTTCGGCCTGACATCGGCGCCAATCATGCCTCCGAAAGACCAGCAGCAGTTCCAAATGTTGCTGCACGACATCCTATATCACACCACCCCTCAGTACCGTGCCCCGGAAATGATTGACTTATACCGTGGCATCCCCATAGACGACAGGGTCGATATCTGGGCCCTCGGGTGCTTCCTCTACAAGTTGTGTTACTACACGACGCCGTTCGAGGCCCTGGGCGATATCGCCATATTGCATGCTTCATTCCAGTTTTTGCAAACCCCCCAGTTCTCGGGCGACCTCAAAAACCTCATCATCATCATGCTTCAGGAGAACCCTCTCTTCCGACCAAACATTGTTCAAGTGTTGCAGCTTGTCGCCAAGATGAGCCGTATCGACTTCAACGAGATGGGGATCGAGGACTTCTACCACTCGGGGCCGTACAACTTCCAGGCTCTCGCCGATTACCAGCGTCACAAGCAGCAGGAGTTGTTGAAGCAACAACAAATGTACTTCCATCAGCAGGCTTTGGCTCAAGCCGGAGGTGCTCAAGCAGCTGCCCCAGCAGCAAACCTGTTCTTGTCTCCTCCCACCGTCGGCGGCGTTCTGAAGGTACAGGATCAGGTGGCTCTGGCACAGCACACTCCCGCCCACCCGGCGTCTTACATCCTGGCGACGCACACCCCTCTGGCTCCGGGGCCCGTCCACCCTCATCATGCCCCGGCCCCTCACCAGCTTGCCGTGCCTGGTGGTGCTCAAGGGCTGTCATCGAGACCTGTTAGTCGAGTGCTGACTGGTGCCGGCTTCTCTAGCTCTCACACCGGCACCCTGCGAAGTAAAGATGAGAAGCTGTACGAAGAAATAGAGGTCATCGACGTACCTGATAACGAACTGCTGGCAGGTCTCTCCGACAAAGAGCTCATGGAAAACGTTGAGGAACGCTACCCGTCCCTTGAAAACATCATGGACACCGTAGGCGCTGCTGCCGTCAGCCGACGCAAGAACCTGGCCCCGAAAATCTCTCGGCTGGCCCTGCGCAACCTGCGGACTCTGCTGCAGTCAAGACCTCAGTCACGACCGCTGCTGGTGGTCCAGGATTCTAACAGTCGCAAGTCGCTGACCGGAGATAAACGGGCTCCTGGTGAGTACAGCCACAAGGAGGCTTGGGAACGCTCTCATCAGAACAGCTTGAATGACGAGGCCGAAAAGCTTGCTAACGATATCTTCGGTGCCCCGGTGACTCAGGTAACCTCGAATCCGATGCTGGAACTCACCGCCACGTCACCTCGAGAGCTTCCCCAGGACACCGAGGAAATCATCGACGATGACCTCGATTTCACCATGACCTATCCTGACGCCCCTCACTTTGATCAAGCAATTGCCAACGCGTTGCAAAAGTCACCGCAAATGTTGGCGTCAACACCTCAAGTGGCAAGTAAGTCGCAACCTGTCCCTCCTCCTCCTCCTCCTGCGAGTCAGGTTCCACCGGTGCCGTCAACTCAACCACCATCCCAACCCCAGGCGAGCGCATCCTCCAAGGCC